TCAGTCTGTGACTCCCTCTCTCTCTGACCCTCCCCTGCTCACGCTGTCTCTCTCTCTCTCTCTCTCCTAGAAATAAATAAAACATTTAAAAAATTAAAAAAAAAAAAAAGCTGTGAACCCGGCAGGTGTGGGTGTCCTCCCGTCCCGGGGGGTCAGGACCCACCCTTCCAGGTGGTTCTGGCTGAGCCCCAGCCTCCTAGGGGCACAGACGGGCTCGGCCTGCAGGGGACGCAGGCGGCTGGGAGGCGCTGAACTTGAGGGGCCGTCCTCTGCTCAGACCTTGATCAGCCGCCGCTCCTTCCCTGCCTCTCCCCGTCCTGCTCCATGGCACCTTCCTGTGTTCGCTGTCAACAGTCACTTCACAGAACCCCTCCCCCCCCCCCGCACCCCGGGGCAGCTGCGGTCCCCTCGCAGGACCAGGCAGGTTCCGGGGGCAGAGAAGCCGGGCCGACATGGCGCTCAGCCTCCCAGACCCTCGCCCTCCCCACTGCCTGCAAAAGGAGGTCTCGTTCTGGAACAGGTGGGGTCGTTTCGTGGCGGTTCCAGAGCGAAGTCCACGCAGGAGGAGTAACAGGCGAGCGGTCGCTCTGGTGTCTGACGCCGTCTGACTCCTGAGGGCGCTGCGGGCGCTGCGGGCGGCGCGGCTGTGGAAGCGCTCGCGGGTGTCCGCTTCGGCACCGCGCTTCCACAGAACCTCCTGGTTCTGACGGCCCCGTTTTCTCCCCAGCTGTTCCATTGAACTTCTCGCGTGTCCTGTTTCTCCCGTCATTCGACGCGTCCCTGACGCACCTCGGTCCTGTCCTTACTGTCGCCGTGCTGCTGAGCGCAGCCCCTCTCTGTCGCCCTCCCTCCTCAGGTGGCCGAGTCTCTAGGAATCACGGAATTCCTGAGGAAACAGGAAGCGCGCCCGGAGCGCGTCCCTGGCCGGAGCGGCGGCGGCGGCGGCGGCGGGGCCGAGCTGGGGGACACCCCGCTGGGGGAGGCCGAGGCCGGCCGGCAGAAGCGGGCCAACGAGGTGGGCGCGCGGCTCTGGCTCCAGCCGTCGGGGGGGCCGGGTGCGCTCGCCGCTCCTTCCTGGGCTCAGCGCCCCGCGTGTCCCCTTCCTAGACGGCGGAGGCGGCACCGGCCTGGGTGAAGAGGACCAGAAGAGACGCTGGGCCCCGGGACGGTGGCGGCCGAGGAGCCCCGGCCGCCAGCGAGGGTAAAGCGCTCCCTGTGCCCCCGAGGCCTGCTCTCGCTGCCCGGTGTCCCTGGGGCCAGATTTAAGAAAGCCTAGTTTCTCAAGGGTTTTATCCGCACCTCCCGGTGTCCTGTGGTCCTCTCGTTCCCCGGGAGGCTGAAGGTCTGTGAGGCTCTTGAGTCCCTTGTTGGAATGAAGAGCCACCTTGTGCCGGTGAGTGGACTGCTGTCCGGAGGGTCCCGAGGACACGCCACGTCTGGGGCTTGGCTTTCCTGAGACTTGGCTGTAAGTGCCCACTGAGGTTTAGCACTGGAAACAAGCCCTTCTCTGGTTTTTAAAATTTTAATGTTTAGTTTTGAGAGGGAGGGGCGGAGAGAGGGGGAGACCAGAATCCAAAGCAGGATCCAGGCTCTGAGCTGTCAGCACAGAGCCCGATGCGGGACTCAAACCCACAAACCCTGTGACCATGACTGGAGCTCAAGCCAGACACTTAACCGACTGAGCCCCCAGGTGTTCCTGGTTTTTATTCTGTTCTAGCCAGAACCTCTCAGCTGGGCGCTGAACCGATAGCGCACCGAGAACGGATCTGCCACTTCCTAAAACCGCCAGGTCCCGCACTCGATCCTAGGGTCTCCAGCGGAGAGGGGCACTCTCTGATTTAGAACTTACGACTGATTTCCACCGCAGGGGAGGGCAGATTTATGCAGGGAGAGCAATGAAACCCCGGCCCCCCCTCAACCTGACCGGTCAGTGTCGCCTCTGAACTTCATCCGCACTGGGAAGCTGTCGGTCCCACATAGCAAGGCGCGTGGACGCCTCCGCGTGTTCCGCCAGGAAGTGAATCTGGACTGGCTGGTGGGGTCGGCGAGCGCAGTGAGCAGGCCGCACCACTGCACACGTCCACTTACCCGCTTTTCTTGAACTGTTTAGGTCTTGCCCCTCCAGTGAGTGGGGACGCCTCTCGCCATCCAGAAGAGAGCCACACGGCGCCGGTTTCTGGCCCTACGGCCCAGCGGCTGCAAGCAGTCGCTGGCCCAGAGGTCAAGAGCAGCTCTGGGGCTCCTGTGGTCGCGTGGGAGGAGGCCGGCGGGCCGAGTCCAAATCCTCAGTTAGGAGAGCCCAGGATGCAGACACAGGGACCGGCGCCGGCCCGCCCTGGAGAGGAGGCCCAGGAACACTCTGAAGACCGGAATGGACCTGGGGGCGGCCTCGGCAGCGGGGGTCTCTGCGGCGCCCTGACGTGTCCTGGAGGGGCGGCGTCCCTGCTGCCTTCCAGGCCTGGAGGCTTCGAGAGGCACGGCTCCCTCTGGAAGGGCCCGCCGTCCGGCCCTGGCGGCGTCCTGCTTCCGGAAGCTGCTGGCCCTCCCTTGGACAGGGTTTTGTCTATGGCCGTGGGGCCAGCTGCCTGCGTCCCCGGGACCGGGCCCGAGCCGGGGCCTCAGCAGGGCCAGGCTGGGTCGCTGCCCACCGACAGGGGTCAGGGAAGCCTTGCAGGAGGGGACGTGGACCTCTTCCCCCTGGGGCCCGAGGCGCGTGCCGACCAGGGAGACCTGGAGAGCATTGTTGGTGTGGGCGAAGCCATGGTGTTTGAAATTACCAATGGGTGCCATGAATCTTTGTCTCAGGGACAGGAGCAGATATTTATTCACACTTCCAGTGGCTTGATCTCGCCCCATCCGGGTTCCGTGGTGTCCGCGGAGGGAGATGCTGTCGTGGTGGCTGGTGCGGAGGGGCCTGCCCTGCAGACGGGTCCGCCGGAAGGGCTTCCTATGGAAGCCATGGAAGCAGAGCCCTCCCAGTGAAGCAGAGCCGGACCCCAGTCCTGGGCGTGTGTGCGTTTTATCCAAAGAAGGTCTATGCGAAGTGATGTGTATTTTTCTACTGTGAATACTGACACAGATGAACTCTTATTTATAAAGAATAATGTCTTTCTACGTGGCTGGTTGTCTGCCCTTTTCTGTATCTTGCTTGCCTTTGCACCAATGGCCGGGGTTACCCGGTAACGAGCTCCTCTGACGCGGCCAGTCCGAGACGACCCACGGTTAGCACCACAGTGCTGTGACTTGTCTGTCTGGCTCCCCCAGAACGGCATCCCCTTCTCTCCTTGGTGATAGATACGCTGCTTTCCCACCACATCTGCGTCTGTTAAAGAACTAAGTTAGCCATCCTGCCTCTGCCCCCAGGAAGTAGGAAAGAAAGTCGTTTCTGCCTGCTGTGCGTGCAGCTGAGGTCAGAGCCCCAGTCCTCAGGCGCGTCCCTCACAAAGTCACCTGTCAGGGTCTCTTCTCTTTTGAATGTTTTCCTCGGCTTTGTTACGGGGAGGGAAAGGGAAGGTCACTGGTCCACCTGCAGACAGCACAGGTGTCCTCTCCCCCAGAGAGACGGGCAGGAGGGGCCCCAAGCAGGCAGAGCTGGGCCCCTGGGCTGCCCCCCACCCCTGTGCCCTGCTCCTTCTGGGCCCTGCTGCGCAGGTGTGGGCTTCACCCCCGGCCATCGTCCTGTCCCCTCCGCTTGATCGCAGAGCCGGTTTGACAGAGCAGGTGGGCGGCGTCCCCGGACAGCAGCCAGCAACGAGCCAGGCACGGTGTGTCCTGCAGACTCAGGTACTTCTCAGGCGCCCAGAGCGAGTCCCATCCTGGGATCCTGGAGTGAGGCTGAGCCTGGACCCTGGTGAGACCAGAGCCTGGATCCTGGAGTGAGGCCTGAGCCTGGATCCTGGAGTGAGGCCTGAGCCTGGATCCTGGAGTCAGGACTGAGCCTGGATCTTGGAGTGAGGCCTGAGCCTGGACCCTGGTAAGGCCTGAGCCTAGATCCTGGAGTGAGGCCAGAGCCTGGATCCTGAAGTCAGGACTGAGCCTGGATCCTGAAGTGAGGCCTGAGCCTCCTGCCTGGGGATCGTTCATAACCCTCATCAGGCAACTAATGCAACAGGGTTAAATCTGGCTCTGTGGTCCATGCTCTGGACCCAGGCCCTTTAAATACAAATTTATTTTCAATTTATAGGACATTACGGAACATCCCAGCACATCTTAATTTCAGCGTTGTGGGTGTGACTATAAGTGGATAGTGAATTTAACTAATGGAGTTAAACATCCTTGTTCCACTGAACAGAGCTGGAAACACAGGGCCCTGGCAGTATGCTCATTAAAATTTTTTTTAAGTTTACTTATTTCAAGAGAGAAAGAGACAAAAATTGGGCGGTGGGGGGGAGGCAGAGAGAGAGAAGGAGACAGGATCTGAAGTAGGCTCTGTGCTGTCAGCGAATAGCCCGGTGTGGAGCTCCAGCCCACAAACCTTGAGGTCATGACCTGAGCCACCCAGGTTGCCCAGGTGGCTCATTAATTTGACGTGCTGGTCGTGCTGGTTGAGGGACCGACAGGCCTTCGCTCTGGGGCTCCAGGGCCATACCTGCCAGGGCAGCGTTCACAAGGTCCCCAAGCAGGCAGATGTATAAAACAGCTTCTACATCACAACACTACATCAGCAGGTGTAACCTTATTCCATAGAAAACAAATGGACATTTCCTTTTCTTGTAAAGAGTTTTTATTTTGGATACATAGTACTTATAATTTGAGATGGTCAGATTAGGGGCAGGAGTGAAGAGGTGTCAGATCGCAGGTTCAGGGACAGGTACCACCAAGTGACTCGGGGGGCTGGTGTGGGCCCTTAGGGCGTGTGTTTTCAGCGCTTCGTCTACAACTCCCTGTTCAACTACTTTCATTACTAAATGCAATGAAAGAAAGTCCCTTTGTTCTCTGTTCCCTGGACAGCACAAGGCCATGCAGCTGCAGCACCCCCCCCCCCCAGCCAGGCTCTTCCGTGTTGGCCTCCCCAGGGGTCACGGGAGGGGGGCAGTGGGGGTTGGGAGGAGCGTTGAACCAGAAGAGGGGCCGAGGGGGAGCCGGTCTTTGATGTCCTCTGAGGTCTACATTTTAAAGAGTAATGTCTATTTTCATCTGGGGAATAGTAAGCACATAGCTCGAAATGCCAAAAGCTACCGGAAGGCCTATGCCAAGCACTGCTGGCCTGGCCTCCGCCCTCTGCCCCTTCAGCCAAGACCGGCACGTTCTCCTTTCTGGTGACTCCCCTCTGTGTGGCTAAATTATGTCTCCTTAACAGCTTTCTTGATTTATTCACATTAGATGGTATCCATGGACTATTTCATTGTGAGACATGGGACGGGGCTTGCACGCCCCACGCCCCCTGCAGTGTCCCTGTGTCACAAGTTAGTATTCAGTCAGCATTTAATGTTTGCGTTGAAGTATAAACGCAGCTCCCAGCTGAGTCTCGTGATATGCTAGGATCACACGGACTTTCCTGTAAGCTTTCGTTTTTCCTAGAGAGAGCTGCCTTGGGTTTTTTCGCTTGCTTAGTGGCTTTCTTTTTTCACTATTTTTTAAAAAACTTATTTACTTTTAAAAGTTATTTACTTTGAGAGAGAGTGCGAGAGAGTGAGTGGGGGAGGGGCAGAGAGAGAATCTGAAGCAGGCTCCGTGCTGTCAGCACAGAGCCTGACACTGGGCTCGAGCCCATGAACTGTGAGATTGTGACCTGAGCTGAAGTCAGATGCTTACCCGACTGAGCCACCCAGGCGCCCCACATACAGCTGTTAAGAACCATGATCTGGAAGTTGAGCACATCTCAGTCACAGGGACTGAGGAAAGGAGGTTCTGACACCGACCCCTAAACTGGTAGCCGCATACCCGCTAAGATTCAAAGGAAGCAAAGAAAAAACAGTGAAGGACAGCCAGCGGTCTCGGCCAAAGCCCTTCTCCCAGAAGGGCCCAGACTGTGGTGGCTCAGGAGAGACAGTGGGAACAGTTCTAAAACCTCGGCAGCCGAAAACGGGTATGTGCTTTCTGCTCACGCAGCGTCACTCCCGGCAAGTGGGAGGGCTCTGTCCCATCGCCGCCAAGTGGGGGGCCCAGGGGGGTAGGCACATGGCACATGCTGCCAGTGGCCACCCCGAGGGAGGGGACTGTGGGAGAGGTCCAATCTGCAGTGAACACCCTTCCGTGGCCAGGACTAGCCATGTGGTCTCACCCGGCTGCAAGGGAACCCGCAGGGCGGGACTCAGGGAATCCTGGGTGAGCAGGGGGGTGGCCCGCGGGTCACATCATTTATGACATGCAGGTGTCATTCGGAGCTGAGCTGTGTGGGAGCTTGTGACTGCTCTGATGCTTTTGCATCAGCTTCCGTGCCTCCCTGAGGGTGTCCTTTTTTTGTTTTAATTAAATGTGCTTATCATGACTTCATCCCGAAACCCTTCCCCAATCTCGTTCTTGGATTTTGTGGACTTGCCCTTGTCCGACTCCTTCACTGTCCGGCAAGGTATCTGGAGGCGGAGAGCTGTGTGAACCATGTCCTGCTATCGGCCAATGCCACCACATAATTTGTTCATCACTGAGCTCTCTCGTGTCTGTCATTAGCAATGTCAGGTTTCCATTAGCTCTCCTGGGCTACTTGGGTGTCTGGGGACACAACGGCAAGAACCCACAGAATGTTCTAGAAAGGTCTGCTCACAATATTAAGTCCTTCAGTGTGTCCTCTGAAGAGTATTTAATTAAAAAAAAATCTTTTTACAAGTAGGCTCCATGCCCAACATGGGGCCTGAACTCATGATCTCAAGATCAAGAGTGGCATGTTCTACTGACCAAGCCAGCCAGGCACCCTGAAGAGCATTTACTTTTTAAGTCCCGCTGCGACATAAAACTGACTGGGGCTGGGCCTCGTGCCTCGGGGGCCTGTCCCGCTCAGCCACACCTGCCGCTCTGACAGCAGCCTGCTCCCCACGCCAGCAGGACAGCCGGGAGCAGAAGACCATCTCTGCTGAACACTCCCCGTGTGGCTTCCAGACTGTGAGACGTCTGAGGGGCTACTTCATGGTAGTTATTAGACTTTAGTAAGTACCTCAAGGGCAGAGGGCAGACGAGTACTAAGAAATGGTGCCTTTCTTTTCCTTTTTTAAATGTCTATTTATTTGAGAGAGAAACCGAGAGCGTGACGGGGGGGGGGGGGGGGGGGGGG